CGTGCATTGGATTCCGATTTGCGATTGTAGAGTGCGTATATATCCTAGGTGTTACGTCTACTTTATAAACTGACGACTTTTGATGATCAGAATGAAGGCGCTTCTTTTCGCACTTGTCCGCAACTTTGAGTTCAAGCTGAATGTGCCATTAGACGACTTGGACGAAAAGACTGGGTGAGTCCTCATCTCTTATCCCACCCTATAACAAAATTTCATACGGATTTGCCTTGCGCTCTGATGCTGACTTTCGGCTTGCAGAATCGTCACTCGACCAGCCGTCAAATCTCAACCAAAGGCAGGAAGTCAACTACCAATGCTCATCAAGCGAGTCAAGTAGAACCTCTATTAGTGGCATTTCTCAGAAACTTTTCGGCTTATTATTTTATGGATCCGTGTCAGTGACGTGTCACTTTGCGTCTATTTATGACCTTATACGAGGTCTATATGTGGTCATTTTGGAGCGGCGATGCGTAAATTGGAGGGTCAATGCGCGCGTATTCCCCATCGTTCGTTCTTCTGGATCTCCTGGATGTAGCCAATCCAATCAATCATTTTATTATAAAATTTCACTACTGAGTTTCCATTCAGAAGTAGATTATTGATTGTCTTTGGGGAATTCGGCTGAATATAAATAAACATATAACCACCGAGCAAGGGTCGAAACGACGGCCTCTTAAAACATCCGAATCTGGCTTCCCCCAATACAATCTGCCAACTTTGCATAGAGAGCCATCAACTAAAAGTCAATTCAAAATGTACAAATAAATATCCCCAATCTCTTCCATCTCCTTGGACGACAACCACCCCAGCGTCTATCCCAGATAAACGTTCAGCGACGACGATTTAGTATCGACTCGGGCAACATGTCCTCCATTATTCCCCTGGAACAACTACTCTGTATCGTAAGAGAAAATTGGGGTACCTTGGTATTTGGAGGGACCGTTACCGTCTTCTTCCTCTCATCCTATGGCTTTCTGCAAAGGCTTATCCGAACACTCTTCTCTCCTCTTCGGCATCTCAAGGGCCCAAAGAATCATAGTATCCTTTTCGGACACACTAGGATAATGCGCGAGAGTAGGCCCCGAGGGTCTTGGCACAAACAGCTCCTGAAAGATTATGGCCACGTCGCAGTTTACAACAACACGTTCAACGTGAGCGCTATACCAGCTATTTCCCTTCTTTACAATACTAATTTATTTATTCTCGTAATCAGCAATATCGCCTTTTCACCACAGATACCAAAGCCCTTCAATATGTTTTGACAAATAACACGATATACCAGAAACCACCTGCGCTGAGATACAATCTTGGAAACCTGCTCGGTCATGGTCTGCTATTTGCGGAAGGTCACGACCACCGACGTCAACGACGCATCATGAACCCAGCCTTTGGTACGGTGCACATCAAAGAAATGACCAATATATTTGAGGAGAACTCGAATGAGGTACGTCACCCTTCCTTCCTCATCCAATGACTTATCTTTCTTACACTTTCCGTTGCCACTGCTCAGCTGTGCAATGCCCTAAAGCTTCTTTCCGCT